TTCCTGCTGCCCAGAGCTTTGAAGGCACCTGTGTGAGTAGGAGGTTGGAAATGGACTGCTGAGTGCGGAGCTGCTACGGGAGAGGCAAGGGAGGAAAAACCGGGTCACTTTGCCCAGTCACTTCTGTCTGCGGCTGGGAACAGACCTTCCTGCTGCCCACAAAGGCCTGGGAATAAGAGCATGGTTTTAGGCTTACGGACTAGAAGTACAAGGTAGAATAATGGGGATAAAGATCTAATCTTTCCTCTTACATACGCAGGTCCTGAACTGAAGGCACAGTCTGGAGTTCAGGGGGAGCTCTGGTAGCTGAAGACAGCTGCAACCCCAGTTTACCAGCTGCTGAGCCTGGGTGCTTTGCAAGCGAAGAGCCCCCATCACCATTCTTATGTTACCTTCTGCTTGTGGCCCCACTCCATCCGCATTGCCACCAGAGACATGAGAACCTGGGTAGTCTGACAGAAATGAAGTCAGGGGCTGAGGATGGCTGGAGGGTGGTAAGGGAGCAGGACAACCTGAAGCAGCCGTGCGTGCATGCACCCCCCTTGGATCCTGTGCAGAGCGCCGGTCAGCTGGAGCAGGGGCTCCAGGACAATATTTTCCTAATTGCAGATTTTGTCGTGGTTTCCTAATGAGAGCACTGTTATTAACTTTAATTGCTGTTATCAACTGTTCCTGGATGAGACTGTTTTCTAGAAAAACATCCCTTTTCCATTATGGACTCTTAGTTTGGTAACAATGCCCCTTTGTACAATTAGATACCTGCCCCTTATTTATGGTTATTACTGTGGAGGAACCCAAACTGAACTGAAATCAATTCTGCCCAGTCCTTGAGGCCCCTTCCCAGTGCCCAGCCCAATTAGATTAATTTTTAATCCAAGTGAAGCGGCTTTTGTCTATATTATACAAACCACCACCGTGTTTCCTGAGAAATTCAAGCTTGGGAAATGCAATCCATTACAATTACTGGGAACACGGGTCCCCAAAGTAACTCAAGCAGGAACAGGTCACCTGCTGATTCCTTCCAGAGCGCTCTCACCTTGGCCTTGTCACCTGTCCGGCGAGAGCACAGCTGTCCCAGGTAACGACATTTTGCAATTATTTAACACCTTCCTCCTGTGAAGCTCAGGGGTTTATTCCCCGGGCTCCTAATCCCACCATTTCACTACAGGATCTAGGCTGCAGTGCAGACCGGCTCTCAGAGAAAAAGGTTGTGGGTGGTTGAGACAGCTTCACATGGGGACACTTTGCTGCTTATGGTCCAGATCCTGGGCACCTTTTTGTTACTTTATCCTCAGTCTCACTAACGCAGCCCCCTCAACGCTCCCGAGGGCAACACTGTCTTCCTTTCTTCCTGTGAACCCTTAGTAAAAATCAGGCTGTCGTCACCAGAACCACTTTCCTTCCAGTATCTCTGGAGCACTGTCTGTGCAAAAACAGCCACAGCCCGTGACCCTGGGCCCAAGCCTGAACCTCTGCCTCAGGTCCAGCTTGCAGTGAAGGTTGTGCCCGGATCCAGATTTCAGACCTGAACCTGCTGGGATGTAATGTTAGTTGAACAGAAGCCGGTCCAAAGTCTCTGCCAGTGCACAGCTGTGCCACTACACATTCAGCTACGCTGGTTTATAACCAGTAGCAAATCCAGCCCATTGTGGCTTAATTTCTGTAGATGGTTACCCAGATTGCAGGTAACCTTGTGGGTAGGCTAGTGATAAAAGAGGCAAAAACAGGTTTACAACCCAACTTTTTATTTGCTTGCACATTAAAAGGTAAAAACAAACATTTATCCCGAAGTCTATCTGGCTCCCTGGGACAGCACGACTCACCTGTACCAGCTGGGGAGAGCAGGGAGGAGGGTGGCACACAGATTGGCAGCAGGTTTTCTTGAATTTGCTGAGTTTTCTAAATTTCCCTCCAGCCTATGCCCAATATTTATAGGTGGCTGGTTCTGATATTTGATACATGATCTCAGATTGGTTTTGTTTAAATTAGTTTCACTGAAACTTCTGGAACTGGACCGAACCAGATGGATCTCTCGTGGACTTGGACACTGTCACTGAGTTGGGATGCGTGTCTTGGGGAAGTAACAGGGAGGGTTTCTTCTCCCTTTTCCTTCCCCATTGTGGAACGCTGTTTAACACTGGCTTGGTTCTCCTTTACCTTCGTTTGTGGGGGCTTTCTGGCAAGGCTGCTTTTGTTCTTACAAATTAACAAAACTGTATTTCTTAAAGCAAAATAACACTGGATACATCAATCAACACTATTAACATTTTAAACTAAAGCTATGATACAGTGTATCGGGATTATATAATGTATTGCCTTCCCTTACAATGTCTCCTTTCAGGCCTTGTGCTTTGTTTAACTGCGTTTAGACAGACACCGAGGCGGCTTCTTTCACTTTGCTGACCAAGCTACTTGTCACTTCTGCAACAGTTCACGCTACAATCACTCCAAAACGGGCTCTGGGGCCTTCTGCTTAGCCACACTTCTGCAGCTGGGCCTAAGCCCCTTGCAAATGGCCAAGGCTGGCAACAAGACACTGTCCTTATTGCCTGAGGAAATGTATGTTTGCAAAACCTACCAACAATCAGCAGATACCTGTATGACTCACTCCAGCTGCTGACTCAGAAGCTCAACTGCTCACGTCCCCAACCTTCATGAATTTATAACAAGGACCCATGCAGGCCTGGTGCAGGAAGCGCTGAAGGCTGGAAGCGTTCGAGTGCATGAAGACCCGGCAGGTCAACAGCATCTATCCCATTCACCCCTGCCTGGGTCTCTGGTGCCATTTGCTCTTGTTGCCGTGTTGGCACAAGCTGCTCCAGTTTAGCATGGTATGACAGCTTCCTGCACCGTGATTGTCACCGCGTCACTGTCCCATGCTACGGTCATAAAACATTCCCTCCTGGTCACTGAACTGCAAGGGCTCGGGCCATTCTCTGCTTGCATCTTGGAAGCCTCTCGAAAGCCTGGTGCTCTCAATGTCCTGACAGCCCTGGCTAGTGGCGAATGCCTGTTCAGTCCTTCAAGGTGCCAAGGCTGCACTCCGAGGTCTGTGGCAGCAGAGATGCAAAGCAGGACCCCTGAGGGCAGCTCACTGCACCGTGGCCAAACCCTTCCTGGGCCCATCAGGCTCAGGGGGAGAGGGAGTGGGAAGGTGATGCCCTCTAGCCCCCAACCTCGCAGGCAGTTGCCACACTGGGAAGGCTGCAGCACTGCCACGTATGGACCCCAGGGGTTGGTGGGGAAGTGCACAGCACTGGTGTGTAGGAGGCCTTAGGCACCTCCCTGCTTCTGCTGCCAGGCTCTGGGCTGAGATACCATTCCTGGAGAGGGAGGGATGGGTTTCTGGTGACCTGAGTTTGGCCCCAGTGATTTTGTCTGTCCCCAGAGCCCTGCAGATCACACCTGCCTTAAACTGTCAGAGGAAGAGCATCGCGTTTACATCCTCTCCCAAGCGCACGTGGAGCACGACTCACAGCCACGTTCTGTAATCCTTCTAAGCATTTTTAAGAACAAACCATTCTTCTGAGCTGAGCGCATGAGGAAGAGTCTTCCCTTGCCCAAGGCTATTCCTTCTCCCTTCCAAGGCAAGACGTTTTCCTGCGCGGCATACCCCTTTTACCAGCCTTTTGCTGTACTTCAGTTGCCAGCAAAAGAATGAGCACAAAATGTCTTGCTGCAGGACCCAGGGCTGGGCCTGTGGCCCCGCTTCTTGTGCAGCGAAGTGGGGCTGTTTGCGCACAAGGAGTTAACTCCTCTGCTGCATTAACCAAGCATCCGAAGGATTGTCTTCAGAAAGTTCCTGGTCTGTTCTTCCTTGTTCTCTCCTTTCACACTGATTGCGGTTCCAAAAACAACACCCCACCTGCTGGGGTCAATGGTGATTGCTTCACAGCCCTTATATAAAGCCCAAGAACAGACCTGTGCACCCTTCTGCACAGGGCGCGCACCAGCACCATGGCAACCCTGGGGAGAACGATCCTGGCGTACAGGAATTACCTGATCGTACTGCTGACACCTATAGTGCTTCTCCCTCTCCCGCTGGTCATTCCTACCAAGGTAAGAGCCCTCGTACCTGTGCTCAAGCTGTCGGGACAGCACGGCTCCTTGGAAATGAGAGGACCAAGTCGGAGCAGGTGTCCCGTCCCTGCTTAATTCCCCATAGCTTGTTATTAAAGACTTGCCTTTCCAGCCCTGCCCTGGGAGCCCAGTGATAGCGGGTAGGATCCTGCAGGGGACTGGCCCCATTCACGTATGGGAAAAGGGCAAGTAACACTGCAAATGCAGTGTGCCGGGCAGCGATGCCCACCATGCCGCTCCGGGCAGGCTGCCTCCAACTGGTAGCAGAGGGTTCGAAGGTGCCTGTGCCCTGCAGCCCTGCACATCGGAGCATGCTGCTGCTTGGATAAGCCTCTCTGGGGTGTAGACGTGCCTTCAGGTGCAGGCACCCCGCTTCACGTTATGGCCCTAATTCTGGAGAGAGCTTTTGCACATGCGTTATTCAGAGTACTTGCCTGTGTGCTTTGCTGAATTAAACCCAATAATATCTATCAGAGCCCCTGACTGCCTCAGACATTCCTTTTCAGCCGCTTTTCCAGTGCCATCTCTACCCAGAGGACAGTTCTGTAATCCAGTGGACAAAAACAGGGCATATTTCAGTTTTTTGAAAAGTTTTTGACCATTTCCCCCCATAAAATTATAGGGAGTTATGAACTTCTGAGCTGCGTTCCCACCAGAAACATCCCAGATGACTATATTGTAGGCAGAGACGGTGGAGCACTGCTTCCATCGTAAGTGGGGCACTCACCCAAAGGCAGGCCCCACTCCAGCCAGAAACTGAAATGCTTCAATTGCCTGTTGACAGCAAGAAGCACCAATATTTTACCTTGTGACCCTCAACAGAGAGTCTAGAAATGGGTCAGACTGGATCAGAGGCATAAATTCTTGCTTGGCATCCACCGATTTTCAATGGCAGTTGGTCACCTGCCTATCCTTTCAGCCTTTGAGAATCTCCGTCTAGTCTCTTGACCTTATGGTTGCAGAGATGATCTTAAAAACATGACCACAATGTAAAATAATGCAATGTAAATAAGTGCCTGAGTGTGCAGGCAGCCTGGAACAACACATCATTGGTACATTTTACATCAGTGAACAATATTTTCAACCCTATGCTATAGTCCTGCATGTGAAGGGGAGCAAAATGGGAATGAAAGGTATTTCACAACGACAGACTCTATTCATATTGCTTGGGAATTTGGTCCTAGCATGCCACAGAGCAAATGGGGCCTGGTATACAGGCAACTCAAGGTTTTGGGAATGGATTATAAACTACTAGGCCGTTAGCTCATCCAGTCTGGGCTCCCATGTACCCAGGCCCATAAACCCTACCCACTCCCCCTCACTGAGCCCAATCCCTCCTGCTTGGCTAAAGCACATCCTCCAGGAAAGCATCAAGCCTTGATCTGATAACCTCAAGGAATGGAGAAACCAC